AGACCAGAGAGGGATACATGAATCTGGATGTTGGTAAGGCAGTACGACCGTGCGCCTCTCTTCCCAGATGTTTGTTTCCGAGCCACATCTGGATTTCACGCTCGATGTGGAGACGTTGTTTGCGCGGCCGCTAACTCCTCTCCGGGCGGGCTGAACCGGGGGGCTCGTCCAGTTTAACCAGCCGGCGCCTAAAGAACATTGTCTGCGTTGTAACGAGAAGATCATCCGGTACTTTTGTGTGGAGCGATGCGTTAGAAAGCTGTCCAGTTACCTGCGTACATATACCATTGTATTTACAAGTTTATTAGATCTCTGCCTGTTTGCACAATCTGTCTGTTTGTTAAGCGCGTAAAGTGGGGTTTGTCCGCCGGAACCCGAAGCGCAGAGTTGAAACAGCGAGTGCTTCTCCAGGTGAACAGCTAGTGGACAGCCCAGGAGACCAGGTGGACCTGTTCAGCCACCTGCACGCCGGTCTGTTCCTGTACTTAATAAGACACCATTTCAGTTCTAACAGTTATTTTCCGCCCTGCACGCCGCTGGGCTCCGCACCTGAGTGTTTGCCCAGACTACTCTACCCGACCTTTAAAACAAGCTCTTCTCCAGAATGTGGAAAACACACCCACACGTATTGAGGGGGGTGGCCAGGCACAGCGGAAAGACACTCACCTGTTGGTCGGAGCGGCGGAGCGCGGGGCGCGTCTCGGCCACGAGCGCCAGGCTGAGCAGGAGCACGAGGAGCAGCGGGCACGAGAAGGAAGAGGAGGAGGAGGATGATGAAGAAGAAGATGAGACGTTCATCCTTGTTGTAGGGAGTGGCAAAAGCAAAGAAAAAAGTTACGAAAGATTCTGTCAGGTCGATTTCTGTCGCTCGTTTCGGAGAGCAGCGTTCGGTGCGGGTGGCTAGTTCTGTTTCATAGGAAGGTTCCGGTTCTGTCCTGTACGCTCTCAGGACTGGTCAGGGTCTCTGTGCACCGGGGAGCCGCACGAGCGCTTAAAAGTCTCGCTCCTTGTGACGTCACGGATTCTCACCGGTCGCCCTGGGAAACTCGCCCCCCCCCTCGCCCCCTCCTCTTTTCGTCTTTTCTTCTTCTTGGTGCTTTCATCTCTTTCTCTCCTCCATTTCTCCCCCCACTTGCTATAAACAACTGTACACAAGATCCAACTCACAGGTTCTTGGCTCTGTCAAAAGGAATCAGATCAGGTATATGAACCCTTGGCCACCTGTGTCTCGAATCATTCAGTTCTCTGCCACCAAGGGCACAGAGGATACAGAGGTGTGCAGACAGGTGTTTAAAGAGAGAGACAACAGACAGACAGGTACAGAGGTGTGCAGACAGGTGTTTAAAGAGAGAGACA